AAGCAGAGATTAATTCTTTGGCGCTCCAAAATCCAAAATGAATATTCTTTTGCATTTCGAAAAAATGAATACATTTTTAAATCATGTATAAAAACTAAATATTAAAATAGTCTTTTCATGTCGGTTTAAAGCATATTGCAACAAAACTAATATATATTAGTTTCAAGAACTATGATTAAGGATTGCCATAAAAAAGGTTTAGATTATTTGTAATCTGATAAAATTATATTTATTCTTACCGATATCATAAATTCGCATCTTTCTTTCAAGAATATGATACCTGTAGCAAAGGACAGTGAATTTTCACCAATATGTTTAGAATGATTCAAAAAACATTATCTTTCAAGAATTCGGCATCAATATTACATGTTGAAAATTTTATGAATTTAAGTCAATATTCATGCGGTAAGAATCTAAAAAAACCATTTTAGGCATCTTTTGCTTAATAGTTAAATTATAATAAAAAAACTGTTCAATTGTTAGGCAATATTTTAATGAAGAAAATTAACATACAGAAGCACACACTCAAATATCAGCTGCATTTAAAAATAATAAAATCAGTATAAAAATAAATCAAATCTAGAAGCTGTCAGGTTTTATATTACGCGCATAGGGGCGTTTTTAACGTTTTGTGTGTTACCTTTATTTATTAAATATCATGTTCTTCGCACTTAAACCATAAAATTCAATTCAACAACAATATCACAAAATAATTTAAAAAGAGCATATTTTTAGAATTCCGAATTTCCGTCTCTCATGCGAGAGATAATTTTTTTCCCTCATACAGTGTTGCCATTGCTCACTTTAAGATCGTTCAGTTTTTAATTAAAAATTTGTTAAAGTTTTACAAAATATGAAATAGATAAAAACAAATTCCAAATTTGTCTTATTCAAGTGGAATACTACGTTATTCAAAATTTGATGTATCTAAGTACCGTTGTTTTTTCACAGTTCAAGAAATATACATACATTCGAGCAAATTCTTTATTATTTAATTTCTTTAAATTTAATGCAGTGCTGTAATATTTGGTGGCAACAATTTAAAAATGAACATATATTGTGCATATACTTTTATAGTGAACCAACGCAAAATGCCAAAACGAAATTAATAGTTCTTCCGGGCAAATTGCCTCTTTGAGCTAAAATGTCACTAACATTTCATCTCACATTAGCTGATAAATTAAAATACAAACTAATTATGAATAAAAACTATTTAAATATAATTAAAAAATAATTCATTGAACTAGAGATAATGAGCTTGCAGATAATGTTCATATTGCGCTTAAAACTGTAAGCGAATGTTATTTTAAATGCATGGCCACCAATATGTTCAAAAATATTCAGTATTTGTAACAATGCTTTTATGTAATAAAAGAAAACATTTATCTGTTTTGTATATTTCCCCTTACGTTGCTTATTAAAAGTATCGTTTTCTCTTCGGTTTGTGTTTAAAATTATCTTTTTCTGTTTGGTTCGATTGCTGTTCGATTTTGTCACTGATATTTGAAAAAAATAAGCTAGATGTCAATATTTATAAAATTTGATTGAAAGTCATTTTGTAATTTCATTTATTATTCTCAAAATCATATATTACATTTTTCATAGCACGGTCTTTTTTCAATAAAAATGCCTCACTAACAATCTCGATTAAATGTCAACCTTGTTTAATTAATTTTTGATTTGTTACGAGTGGCTATTCTCTTTAGCTTTAAATATGAACTTTCATGCATATCTTTAAATAAAGTTTAAAGACGTAAGTTTAACGTTCATAGCTCATAAAGGCCAAGCATAATTTGCATAGTTGCATTAAGTAAGCCATTCATATTAGACAGTATCTTTCCTGTTGTCATGGTAACGTTGACCTAAGGACTTAGGAATTAACCACCGATCGATACTTGCGAAGGAAGATTGTATATTTCGAAACTTAGCGGTATAATTTACTTGTATATTAGTTTACTTTTTTGTGTTATTTATCATGTAGTAAGTGCTATTGGATTAATTATTGTTTTGGTATCACTGCTCGGGAAAAGATCAGGTAATTTAGAAGAAAAAAAACTATCAAATTAAGTTTTTTCAAATTTGGATACCAAATCGGATAATTTTAGAGTTAATAGCTCTTAAAAAAGAGCACATATCAAGAATGTGTTTTTAAACAACACAAATAAAATTTTTTAAATTTTTAAAATATGTACATAAAAATCTGAAAGCCCACTGGTTTTACATTACGCCCAAAGGTGCGTTTTTTTAACGTTCCGTGTGTTAACTTTATTTATTAAATATCATGTTCTTCACATTTAAAAAATAAAGTTCAGTTCAACAGTAATATCGCAAATTATTTTTTAAAATGAGCATATCTTTAGAATTTACGATACACAGTCTCGCGCGCTGGAGATAAAAAAGTTTTTTTTTCCGTACAGTGTTGCCATTCCTCTCTTTGAAATCGCTGAATTTGTTAATCAAAAGTTCGTTAAAGTTTTACAATATTTGAGATAGATAATAAAACAAATTCCAAATTTGGGCTTTCGGATGCCCATATTCGCTGTAGGATTGCGTCATTCAAAATTGGATGGCTCTAGGTTCCTTCTGGGTAAATTGTCCCTTTGGACTAAGAATACATTTCGTTTATAAAAAAAAAGGAGATTAACATTACGTAAAATTTCCTTTTTTCCCAGAAAACTTCCCAAAATTTAAGACAATTTTAAGTTATTTACTTCTTTGCATTTCGTTGTTAAGCCTTTCTGGTTGCATAGTAAGTTTAAAATACTTGGGATTAATTTAAGAAGGCTGTTTTTTAACACTAATTATTAAAATTAATAAAATCTTTAAGCATTACAATGAACAATTTTGGAAATCCAATAGCTTTTTTCACCTGAAGGAAGAAATTTTTCCAGCTCCCTATCAACAAAATAGTATAATTCCATTCCCTTGTATTTCTTATATCGTCATATTGTTAACTAAGTAAAGTAATTTTATATATTTGAAAGTACGTATGTGTTGATATTGCTGTCATTCCTTTTCCTAGTAAATTAAAAATCTATCATTGTAATTTACAAATATGTGTCATATTTATGTAGTAATTCCTCTTTTGAAATGTGTGAATTTACCCAAAAGCGACTAAATAAATCCTACTGCTATATTTATTTATTCTTTATATCTGTTCGAAGGATTTCCTAAGATTCAAGTATTATATCTCATTAGTTAATTTCCTTAGAGGGTCAACAATGAAAATATTTATCGACTAACTACCAGAGTATCGTTTTGTGGAAAAAAGCAATTTTTTTCCCAAAACACATTCCGTTTGGGCAAAAAATTCCGTTTTGAATATTAATTTCCCTTTACAATGATGTGCTGTTATTAAATTTCTTTCAAAATACATTTCTTTAAAAACAAATTAAGGGAACGTAAACGCTGAAGTTTGTTTTATGAAACAGTATATCGATTTCGTGATACTACGCTATCTGATTCTTTCATAGTTAATGTAGTTTTCTGTAACAACAAACACTAACTTAAGATTGATTTTTGCATAATTTTATTTCTCTCCTACATACTTTCTTTGTAATTCCTAATGTATTGCGACCGATGAACTATAAAGAGAGGCTCAATTAAGCTTGTTAAATTTATCATTGGTGGAAAAAGAGATTTACAATTTTTTTCCATCATAATAACTGATTTCTTACTGCATCATTTTCGCACTTTCTGCTGCGTTTTATAAAAGTATAGTTACTGTAAGGGTTTTGCTAAAGATGTAGTATGACTTCTAAAATATTTCTTGTTTTTATTAAGCTTTTCCAGATTGCCTCTCATACACCTCACAGAAATAAAGAAATAACTTTCGGATGTTTTACAAAATCACAACTGTTTTTATCTACAAAAAATGGACAAAGATGATAAACAAAAGCTAACATATTATCATTCCACAGAGACATCGTTCCATTTTTATTCCATTAGAACTGATAGAAATATTAATAATAGCAATACGCTCAGCTAATTTCATGCCTTTTTTTCTTTGAAAGTATTGTTGCGTGCGTACGGGTTCGTAATAGATTTAATGCACAAGTCTGATGAAAAGTTAGTAAAATTTATTCTTATCACAAGAGATAAAACAGGATGTTGAAATTTGTCCTCACAGATATTCGTACAATATCACAATATCACACAGTATTTATATTTTAACTACTAAAACGTTAACTTGAACACAATTCAAAGTGCAGAGATGGATAATCCGATCTCACCGCGAATTTGCTACAGTAAACAACAACAGTTATCTAAACAACTGAACTGAGATGTTTTTCTTCCGCTTCTGTAAGCTTTTTAATCAGTCGCGAGAAGCTTCTCGTAATTTCTCGAGGTTTCTGGAAAGCAAAAGAGTAGAATTACAGTTACAGCAAACACGCAATTGCGTTATTTCATTTAAATATATCTATTTATTAAATGCGCGTGCACCTGTATTTTTGCTTTTTCTGCGTAGCTTTCTCTTAAAACTCGTCACGCGCTGCATTGCACGGGGATAAGTAACAATTTTAATTACAGTTCTACTAAAAATAGCCAACTAAATACAAAATCTGTAACAGTATTGTTATTAGTTTCTCCCTCCCCCATTAAGAGACGTATGCTTCTTAAGAAACAGTATTGAAATTTCTTTCCTGTAGCCTACGTGTATTGCAAAATTTCTAAATACATTGATAAAAATATTCTGGAGCTTATTGCTTAAACAAAATTAATGCTAAAGAAAAATTCAAATGAAGAAATAAAGGAAACAAAACCAAATTGTATTCGAAAGAAAGTTTTTGATTCTTTCAACCGTAAGATCCTCTTTGGTAGCTAATATTAAATCTAATACTAATAGCAATACTAAAAGAGCTAAAATATAGTAAAGCAGAAACTTTGCTGTTGTATTTTTTACTTAGTTGAAAGACATGTTTTGTCATAAGATTTATATATTTAACATTATTAATATATTGTTTTCCAAAATATTAAAATATAATTACATTTAATTGTAGATGTATGACTTGGGCAATCCCGGCAGTAGTTCGGCAAGTAGCCCAGGCTGCAAACCTGCAGAAGATGCCTGCCAGAGCAACAGCATCACGAGACACTGTGAACATGGCACATGCGTGGGCACTTACAATTCTGCGAAATGCATTTGTTACCCAGGATATTTCGGAATTCGCTGCGACAAAGGTGAGGGTAGTTATAAAATCTCTATTAAGAATTTCATTCTTCGAGGTAGTATCCATTCGTATGTTCAAACAGTAAGCTTTCGTACTTTTCATTGGATTAAATATCAGGTAAATGATGTCGTCTTACATTTCAGAAACGATATCGAAGATGTTCCAGCAAAACAGCTACATTAAATATGCTTTGTCCTTCGAGCCCGATCCTTATAAGACAGATATCCAACTTCAGTTCCGTACTCGACAGAAACATGGCGAACTTTTCAGAGCTACCAGCAAGCATGGTCGTGAATATTGTATCCTGGAGGTAAGAAATCTGCTTTGTGTTCAGTGATCCTGAAAGCATAACTGCTAATTTTTACACTTTTTATTTAGTGATGAGGCATTTTATATTCGCTAATAGAAACAGTTAACTGCATTCTTTTATGAGATATCTCATGATGTAAATGGTTAACACTTTCATCTATTAACTATAAAATTCATAATGCAAAACCCGGTAACAATACGGACAGTTTTTCGCATTTCTTGCTCCGAAAATTCTTAATAGTCTTGACAAAGGCCCTAAACTAAAATAGGGTGGACAGCAACTCATCACAGCTGGCAGCCATATCTCATCCCATTCACCATTTAAGCGAGGAAAATGTAGGAATATATCGCATTCCACTACGCGTGTTTTCGTAGTGTAAGTAATTAGCATGTATAAATCGAAGACCTATGGTTCTAATCCTGTCATGAGCACAGATAAATTTTCCTGCTTTCTGCCCCAAAAAAAACTAATAGTCTTTCTACGGCTGTATGTAAGCAAAGAAAAGAAAGTTTTTCTCTAGTAATGTTTAAAGAAAAAGGAAAGAAAACAATGATTAAGGAATTAATCATTAATGATTGGGAATGATTAATTTAAATTTTATGATTAAGGAATGATTAATTTAAAGCAATGATTAAGGAACTTTCTGCTTAATCATTGCTTTAAGTTCCTAAAATTAATTATCAAATGAAAACCTGAGGCGCAGTTGCTGTGCTTTGGGTCGGTTTTCAATTAAGAATTCTTAATGTTTACCATTTGTTACAGAAGAAGAAAAAGAAATTAACCATTCTGTAACACAGCAGATTCGAAATGAATTCAAATCGAAGTAAACAATGCTTCTTTTAATTACTCTTGTCTCCCCAGTTTACCTTATAAGGTATTTCTCCGGCCTTCCTAGCGTGCCTTCGTGGTGTAGTGATTCTGCACGCTGGGCCGGTATTCCAGAGGTCCGTGGTTCGATTCCCGGCGAAGGCGATCGCTAATTTTTCATCTCGTCTGCTTCAAAAAAGTACTTAATGTCTCTACAGTGGGGCCCGAACTAAAAGGGTGTTAGATGATGATTCTCCTCACCCAGGATTTGGCGATTTGGGTCCCCTAAAAACCCCAGTCGCCCTTTAAAAAGGGGATTATATAAGGTATTTCTCCTGCCTTCCTAGCGTGCCTTCATGGTTTAGTGGTTCTGCACGCTGGGCTGGTATTGCAGAGGTCCGTGGTTCGATTCCGGGCGAAGGCGTTTGCTAATTTTCCATCTTGCCTGCTTCCAAAAAATATCTAATGTCTCTACAACCTGTATTCCTTGAATTTCCAAATCTGAAATTATTACAGTGAGAGGTCGAGTTATTGAAAGTTTACTTCGGTAATTAGAAAAGCTAAACCCCACTCCCTTTATGCTGACTATGAGATCTCAAGATATGGTAGATATGGATCCTTAACATCTTGTTTGGGACTTGTAAGATTGAAAACTTATTGAAAAGACTCATTTACTAATTTACTTATTGAAAAGACCTACCTTCGTTTTGGATTTATTGGCGATTCTTGAACTCGTGGATCTTGTCTATCCTAATCACTAACCAGTTAGAACAACAACAACAACTCTTGTTTCTAACTTTGAAAAGCATGTTATTATCTAAACATTTAAAAAAACGAATAATACGTTGTCGTAAAAGAGGTTTAACATATTTGTTAGTGAGCTAATAATGAAGCTCTTTCATATGTCATTGACAAGAAATTATATATCACATTAATTATTTAATATCACCAACTTCCTATTCAACGAAAACAGTGTTAAATGACTTCTGAGCAAACATTTCATTGAATGATTAAATGGATCTTAAAAATAAATATGTAGATTTCAAAAAAAAGAAATGTTTTAAAGAATACTTTCATTGCGAAATTTTTTCACCAACTCGTTTGCAATAAATAGTAAACATTAAAAAATAGGCAAGAGCTTGTTCATTAAATTATGTCTCTTTTCTTTTGCACTTATGTAAATGTTTTAAAAGTTAAACAATAACTTTTCTGGGCTTACTCTCTTTACTTAGCTTACTATTTATATAATAATATGCATTTTATAATTGTATAACTGCTGAGAAAGAAGGTATATAGTTTATATCACATTGCGAAAGCTTCTGTTTTGGGGGTTTTATGTAAACAAATATTAAAACTTGTGTGAAAAGAAATGTCGTGGTTTTCGAATTCTAAATCTTTCATATCGTTATAATGACTCAGATGGAAAAAAAATTCAAGATTTCGAAATTTTGCTCTCAATATACAGCTTTCTTTAAGCAGTTCAGTTATTATTAATACCAAAGTGTTTAAACCTTTAAAAGTCGCACCATTTTTATTTCTAACCCGTTTTGCTGTAGTGAACCTTTACATGATTGAACGTAGGATCCTTTCTAAATTCCCAATGGTGATTCACTGGCGTCTTTCAGTGAATTTTAAGAGTTATTAGGTTTATCGAAGAAGGAAACAGGAGCAACACCCTCTTGGTATTCTAACTCCGGACCTTTTAATTGCTATCTGGGCGTGCTTTCGATTAACACCACGAAGAAAGCACGTGGTAGGGAAAAAAATCTGGCAAGATCTACAGTTCATGGCTTTTAAATTTTTTTTCAAATGAAATTAACCTAAACTCATAAATAAGTCGTTAAAAATAATTATGTATCACTGATTCCTTAGTGAGTTGTTTTTAGCTCCGCTAATAAGTTCCCTTAATAATAATCCGCTAATAAGTTCCCTTAATAATAATCCGCTAATAAGTTCCCTTAATAATAATAATCCTTCAACTGTAGCGAAATCCATCTCAAAATAGTTCTTTTTCTCCTTCAGATCTATCTTAATCTGGGTCTCATAGAATTTCTCTAAGCGTATTAAAATAAACTTGCTGAAACAGAAATGCTCATTGCATGGTGTGATTTAAAGTATCAATTGAATAATTTCTGTGAAAAATTCTCAAAAGAAAGAAAACGAAATAAAGTTTTCATTACAGATCCTTTAACCATACTCTAGGTTATTTATTATATTTAACGAAACTCTGTCTATACTACATTATTTATACTGTATAGTTATAGAAAATAGCACAAGATAGTATATTACTTGGAGTATACTGCTGTAGAAAGCGTTAAAATATATAACTGATTGCTCTGTAAAAAACTTGTGCTATGCAGGTCTACTGTTCATGCAGAGTTTCTATATTGCAGGTAACAAAATACATTGTTTATATACTGTTTTCTAATGCAAACAATATAGCACGCTATTTATACACCGTTTTTTATATCATATGCAAGACACAAAGCGTATATAATAGTGTACTTTATATAATTCATACTTTGCGACGTATATAATACTACACAGCATGCTTTATCGCTGTAGAATATAGTACTATGTCGTATACTATCCACCCATTTTTTTGTATAAAATACAGTGTGCTGTTTTTACAGTATTCGAAAAGGCGAAAAGGAAAACACCATTCAATAACTACAAGATGTGTTTCATTTTTAGATTCGAGACAAGAAACTTCGCCTCCGTTTCAACCTGAACCACCTTCGATCATCAGACGAACACGAGCTCTGGCTTCCTAACGTTCAGGTGAGCGACGGCCAGTGGCACACGGTGAGAGTTCTGAGACATGGCAGTACGGCCAGTATGTCATTGGATGGCGGTGGAGGCCGAAGATATAATGAACTGCTAGAATATGAAGGACAACATCAGTTGATGATGATTGAGAAGCAAAATGTTATCGCTGGGGGTGATGTCCAATACGTTGGCCCCGGTGTGACTGTTGTAGATAATGACTTTCAAGAAGGTGAGTGCTTTCTCCTTTTCGATTATCGGTAAAAACAGTTGTAAAAATCACTACTTAAACATTCCAAATAAGTGAATCCACTTTGGATCGCTATTAATAAGTTACTGAACTGGAGAAGCTCAAATTATGAAAAATTAGCTGTTGGAACTATTTGATGTTTTGTTCTTCCTGATAACTTTCTAACGCAAGAACCAAAAATCATTCATGCCAAGTATATGAAATTTATTCTATTTATTGAGAATGGATAAAGTTTTAACAGCAGTCAAAACGTATTCTGTTTAAGCTATTCGTGAAAACAAATACAATTTGATTCGAATAAATTAATAATAGCATTCACATTAATAAAAGTGACTGGCTTTGCATTCGTTATCATCGCGATAATTTTATCTCAAGTTTTAATTTTAGTATATCATAAGCTAAAATCATTCAAGTCATAAATTATTATTATAGTTGAAAGTAACGTGGGAACCATTTGTTAAGAAAGTGTGTCTAAAATAGACGCTTTTGTTTTCATCCGAATTGTATTTTAACTGTAAAATAAATCTAGCGAAGCACTCTGAAAATGCCGTCTTCAAAAAAGACAAAAAAGATTCTTTCAAATATCATATTTAAATTCTGTATTACTTTACATTTTCTGGCTATATTTTTGCAACAATTTGGTAAATATGTAATAATTAAAAAAACACTTTTTCACAATTTTCAGTTTAGCATGTTCGGTAGAGAATGGAAATTTTTATTCTAAAAGTTTAATTCGGTATTTCCTATTCATAAAAGTAGACCAGTGCTTCTCAAACTGTTTCTGCCTGTTATCGACGAGCTTTTTAAAAAATACAAAAATCTAGCATTTGGATTAATCAATCAAATCAGTATCTCTAGAAGATTTCAAAATAAAGAATACGAGCATTTTGTTTTATCTGTTGTTTAAATATGTATTAACACAGTGAATTATCTGACCATTTCAAATAATAAATATGACATAACTATTGATTAAAGTGGAAATTAAGATTTTAATTATGGATTAAAGTATTAAGAGCTTTGATTACAACTATGCTGTATCCTATCACTGGCACATAGTCAATTTAAAATGCACTCAGACGTCTTTCTTTCCAATCCAAATATAATTCAGTGATCATCACGAAAACTTAAAAATTAAACTATTCTTATTAGTACAAGTCTGAGTCCTTGGTTTGCTTATCTTTTGGAAATTTGCTTGTATCTGCATCTCTTTGTAGATGTACGGAAGATTACAATGCAACAATGTGACTGAAATACAGCATTTATACTTTTAAATTTATATTCATTAATGAACTCCTAAACGAGCCATAAATAGTTTAAAAAATCATAAAATTATAAAGATTTCACTAGGCAATCCTCAGGTAGAAAAAAGTTAGATCTAACGTAAAGAGGAAGAAAGAGGTTTGAATAGACGTTTTCGAGTAAGAACTACAGTGCCATGCTTAGCCATAACTATTCTCAGAAATTAATAAGTAACAACTGTTGAAAATAGTTCTTTTGTAGCATAGTTGTTGTAGTAGTGTAGTAAAAAACAGCAGTCTTGTTTTTCAGTTTGATAGTTTTCCGTACGATTAGTCTCAACTGAGGCAAAACCTGGTAGGTATTCGACCGACTGAAAATGTGAGCTTAATAAAGCAGACGGGGAAAACTAGCTCTCTGAACAGTTAATTTAACAGTCTAGCAGCTCAAAGTATAAAATTAAAAAGTTAGTAAATGTTAATTATGTAAATGATCATGTAAATCATGCAAATATTTTTTTTTTCAATTTTAAAAGCTGCTTTTTTTTCTGCATTTCCTTTTTTAACATAAAATTTTATAAAAAGGCAAATATCAAAAAAACTGAAAAATTATCTTACCTTTTAAACAAAATTCAAAACAGAAACATATAAACACAGTCTTGCAATCTATACGTAATTACAAAATTTCATCTCAATCAATAGATTTTTATTCTATATGTAGAGGATAGCTTGAGAGCGGAATTAAAATTTCTACAGCCAGTTTCTTACAAGGGGTTAGAAACTTATTTTATTTATGACGCTCATGGTGTAAAGTCACATTTATTGTAAAATACTTTTAAGAAGTCAAGGTAATATGCCGTTTTAAAGGGATAACTGATAACGTATTTTTCTGACATTGAAAAATTATATTGACTCTGCAAATGATGCTGGAAGTAACAGATGGTAGATTATAAAATGTTACCGCCAGGATTTGGCGACTGGGTCCCCGTATTCCCAATCGCACTTTAAAAGGGGGAGTATATACGGTATTTTCTTCTCCTTTCCGCATGCCTTCGTGTTGTGATTGGAAGCACTTTCGAAGCATATTCGGGATGTCCGGAGTTCGAATCCCGGCGAGGGCACTGTGAATTTCTTCAGTCTCTTGACATCCAAAAATTCTAATGACTTTACAAACGTACATTGTACTGAATTACTCACTTTTATAATACTGAAGATAAATGAAAGGTCTTATGCATCGTTGATTAGCTAAAGCGTTTATTTATCGCGAACATAGATATATCGCAAAGTGAACGAAATTATGTCTCGAAAAAATATCCTTTTACATCGAAAAATGAACGCCTTGAAAAGAATTCCCCCCAAGGTGTTTAAAAAATAATGGTATGAACATATGGCTTTTGTGAATAGTTCATAAATTTCACTAAAAGTGACCAAATAGAATGAAAATAAAGAGATAAAAATTCTGCCGCCTCCCCCCCCCTTCCCCGCCAAAAAATATGAGTGCAATGATGTAAAGACATAAGATTTAGCAGCTTTAGTTAACTTAATATTTTTTTCATAAGATATTTAAGATACGAAAAGTAAAATCGTAAATGGTATTACACAACTATAAAGAAATTGTAGAGGCAAGTGCCATAGCTTAAATTGGCACGAAGATTATCTGTACTTTCTTTTAAAAATGCACAACTAAGTTATTCTTGTGAAACCTCCAAACGAACAAGATACTTAAGTAAAACTAAAATGTAAATCCTTATCTTAACGGTTTACCTTCTTTTCTTATTTTATAAGAAAATCATTTTCGAACTTCCCTGATCTAGGGTTTAGTTTAACAATTATTAGTGGAATATAATGATGTTGTTTCGCACAATCTTTGAAAAAAAAAGCACATAGAATCATTAAAAAAGTTTTGGATTTAGATAAAAGTCCATATATCTTTAAGAATAAAAGAAGCTCACTTATTTGCTTGAGATTATTTCGAAACTTTTTACGAAAATTACAGATAATATGTCGAGAAATGTTTCAACGAAGTTTCGGGAAACAACTGAAAAATTTAATTCCATTTTTATGGGTTGTTTTACAAATGCCGTATTTTTGCTCTAAGATCATTGTTAATGAAGAAAGCGTATGAGTAACAAGATATTTTATCGATCAGAAATTACCGTATTTATGTAAAGAAATAACGCATTAAGAATTTATTTCTCCGAACAATATTATCTTATAACTGATATTAAAAATGTCATATCGAGGTTTTTCATTTTCCGCGACACAGTACATTGCGTCATGCATTAAATGTCCACTTGGCCTGACAAACATTCTCATAGGTACTGCTGGTCTTGTGGCAATATATCTTTAGTTTAACTTTTCTAATAAATCCGAAATTGTAGGACTTTTGTCGATCTTAGAAGTAGGAATTTTTAATTAATCGTTTGTTCTTTCAAATTATGAATGCACGTTGCATACAGTGTGACCAATTAAATTTTAAAAATAGTACATGCAGGTCTTAAAAATTCTATTTCATTTTTAAAAATATATCTAATTAGTGTAACTTATAGTGTACCTACTTAATAATTTTGATTACACTCATATTACTTTTATAATCCATAAAAAACATTATTAATGGCAAATATTATCCGCCTGAATTATGGTTCTTGCATTATTTCGTTATTCTATTAATTCGAAACTTTGAGATATCTTTTTCCTAACTAATTTTCTTTTTAGTTCCTTATCAATAAACATAACTCTTAAGCTCGAATTTAATCCCTCAAAAGAACATATATGGATATTCTTATTGTAGAGGCGCGAGGTCATCAAAAGTTCCATAATGAATATTTTTAACAGGTTCTGTTTGATTATATAACTAAGCCAAGTACATAAGAGCTGTCATCTTAATTCCATATCATATATATATATATATATATATATATATATTTGACTAATAGCAAATCGAAATTTATTTTATTTTGTACATTGGCATTACCAGTCCATCTATAGTTATTATTACACCTTAATGTGTTTCTTCAAGCGGACGCGTCGGGAAATTGGAACAGAGAATTGAGACTGAAGTTAATGGCGAAGTTTTTTCCAATAATTTATAAAAAGTGTTTCGTATACAGTTTCAAATGTCTGTTTCGGCGAAACGCGATATGGAGTTAACTGGATTCGAAAATCATTAAAATTATTTCCCCTGAAGAGCCTTAATGAGATTCGAATTGGGCTAATCTACCATTTACCGCTTCTTTGTTTTTGTATTTTTGCTTAAGTCATTTGTCGCACGTTAATTCTAATGTTTAAAATATGCCTTACTTTGATCAGCGTATTGCTTACAATTAGTATTGAATTTTATTTGTAAATAATCAAGGGTTTATATTGTTTATTTAATCTGTATTACACATTTCACTGCACTTTATTTTTACTTATGTTAATATTTTCACGGAACCACAGTATCTAAGCAGCTTTTTAGCGTACGAACTAGGAATTTTCTTTTAACTTTTTTCTAAATTTTGCAGCTCAATGCGCAAAGTTTTTGACCACATAGGTCTTTTATCGTTTGTTCTATTTTCTATAATTATACGCTGACTACCAATAAGTATTTGGACACCTATGCAAATGACGATATTTGCGGTCCTAAGGTACATCACGGACTCCGCCGGTGTATATCGGTGAAGGAACTTCTATGTCTTCTCCAAGCCGAGTAGAAGAAAATACCACTAGCTGTCATACAAAGACTTGTGGAAAGTATGCCCCGGAGGT